CCATTGTATTCCTTCATACTGGATCACTCCTATTACTGACATTCATATCTGGGATGTGACTTCTAACGGGACTGAATATGTCTGCATTAGGGTTTAGCTGCAGGATCTGGAAGGGGCTTGTCATTGTCTGGGGTTGTTAAGTCGATGGTTAATGTATCCTCCTTGTGTAAAAGACAATAGATCGTTCTTTAACGTATCTAATTCGCTTTTAAATTTACTAATGTTTTCCATTTGTACTTCTTGTTTCCTTTCTTGTTCCAGTTGCCACTGCTGTAGTCTCTCTTCTTGTTTCTTTTCCCGTTCTTCTTGTTTCTTTTCTTTCTCCTCTAACAACTGCTGTAATCTCTCTTGTTTATTTTGCTGTTCGTGCTGCCATCGTTGTAGGTTTTCTTGCCACTGCTGTAATCTTTCTTCTTGTTTCTTTTCTTTTTCCTCTAACAACTGCTGTAATCTCTCTTCTTGTTTAATTTCTCATTCTTCTTGTTTCTTTTCTTTTTCCTCTAACAACTGCTGTAATCTCTCTTCTTGTTTAATTTCTCATTCTTCTTGTTTCTTTTCTTTTTCCTCTAACAACTGTTGTAATTTCTCTTCTCGTTCTTCTTGTTTATTTTGCTGTTCTTGATTTACTGCCATCAAGTCTGCTATGCTGTAGTTTGATTTGCCGCTTTTCGTTTCCATTTTTTTTATCCCACTTCTGACACCAATTTGTTACGTCTCCGTTTGTTAATTAACTTTCCGTAACTTCGTTCCGACGAAACTTTAGCGACACAAGTCCTCACTTAATAAAACTGGTTTATTCTTTCTGAATATAACTTTACGATACACTTGATTTCAACATTCGCGCTAAAACAAACGCTATAACGAACTTCAACAATACTCTCTGACTGCAGATCAATTACTCACTACCTACACACACTATCACGCCACACCATGACCATCTTATATATACCAGACCAACAGATACAGGATTTTTTTAACAAATCGAGCACGGGCAGAAAAAAACTTAAGCATATGTGTGTGAAACAAATGATTCTGACAATTTGTATTTGATATAAAAAGCACTAGGACTTTCTTCTCTGCTATTATCCAGATTCAATTTGTTTGTGACTGAAGTAAAAGATAATTAACTGCTTCGCACTACAAAGAAACAAAGGCACACCAAACTTCTTATGTGTATCCCAAAATCCTAGCTTAACTATGTCAACGACCATAATCATTTTAGATATTCAAGAGAAGTTTAATTCCAAGTTCATATACTAACTTATACAACCTCTCTTCCATCCATCCATTTGAACTTAACCTATACTCCATGTGAGAAACGATACAGAAGTATAGCCATGAAAGTATACATTGTATGAAATAGTCATTCTGGTAAGCAACTAGCCTGGGAGAAAAGACTAATATAATGCTGTGGTATGCTATCCTTTCCTTTCAATATACACATCTACAATTACTGTTTCACTTATTCAAGCATCTGTGCAGTTTCACCTAACATGTTGGTTGAGACATTCGTTAAGTTCCTATTGCTTTAAATATCAATTGTTCTGTGTAATTCACCTAAGGCATCGCATTTTTTTTTCCATGATAAATGTTTTTACAAAGTTGTATCTACTATGAATAAGTTCTTCCACCTGTAGATCAGATGACGTATAAAAGCTACAATCTCCCTTAAGTTCAATGGGAATGATCAACAGTCACGTGGGTGACACAATTCTCCCTAGAAAAGTATAACATTCTTAGCTTATGTACATAATGTTATGGTTTCTCAGATTTACAGAGAATATATTTTGGAGCGAGTCTCGAAATAAGACAGCTTTCTGCAGTAAAGGTGACTGTTCCTTGGGCAAAACAAAATACACACACTGTTGTCTTGTGATTTTTAAATAAAATATTATGTTCGTTGTACTTTTACACTGTGTCCATTATCCTCTTTTTTTCACAAAACTAAGTCAGAATAAAATAATAATATAAAATATATGTGGCATATTTTCTGGTCAAGTTTCCTGTCATTCCGTGGAACTATCTTGTTACGCTTGAGGGAAATCATTTTTACTCAAGAATACCACATAGTAGGTAGAAAGAAGTAAAAGTGTTGGTACTGCAACCACAGGATATATTATTACAAAGTTTTTGTTTTCTTCTGAATTGTGTGTTGCCCTTTACTACTACTCTTGTGTTATTAAATTTTAAAAGAAATCTTTATTGAGGAAATGGTATTTTATGTGAGTAGAAGAACTTACAACCAAGAGGAAGAGTCAGTCACTGACGGGAGATGGTTGTCCAGAAGAACTGTCTGGTTTAGAAGAAATCTTATATTGGACAGAGAACTTTTTGCTGTGGATGTGAAGGTCTATGACTTCTAT